TAATAAATTATTTTCTTATCTTATTCTGCCGGATTGTAACACAATTCATATTCAAGATAAAAATTTAAACTAGTGAGATGTGATAGGATAAGTTTCAGGATTAACTCATCATATCATGTTGTATCATCAAACACTGTTTAAATATAATATAATACAAATATCATATCATCTCTCTTATCCTGCGTACCAAACAGGCCCTAAATGATTAATAAGGAATTTTGTGATGATCTGGTAGACAAAAATATTGAGATTGATTGTCATAACTTCTTGAAAGTAGTTAGAGCCTCCACTTTCAGAATAAGAGCTACTAAGGTCTTAGAGATGGTTAGATCAAAGTGTTATATGGAGAAATTATTGTGGATTAGGTCAAAAATGGCATTTACCATAATGTATCAATATTGTTTGAAAAAGTGCACATAAATCCATTAAGATCGAGAGCTTTGAAGTCATTTGTATTGCATTTTGTGCTAATGGCCATTGACCTAATTTTCCTCCATAATTTATAGGGTGACATACCTTTTTAAATCAATTAAGTTGAAGTATTAAAGTTCTTAAGAGTGATAGGGGGTGAATACTTTCTACTAAATTTAATGCATATTATGAAGAATATGATATTATACATGAACGTAACGCAAGATGCATTTTAATGCAAGCATGTATTCAATGCAGAGAGCACGCATGTGAAGACACACCTGCTGGACAACATAGGAGATGTCAGGATTGATAAATATGAGATATTGCAAAGCACCGACAAGACTCTGATATAATGTAGGATCATCATATGGAGTGCTAACAAAGATATTGAGATTTTGCTTAGTGTCGATTGGAGGAGCGGGAGGTTTGTATTGGGTTATGCATGCTTAATCAATAATGTCGTTGGCGTAGATACTCTGACTAAAAAACAATCCTTTTGCATGTCTGATCACTACAATACTCAAAAAAATAGCTCAGTGGTCCTAGATCCTTTATAGCAAACTCGAAGGCCAGAAGCGCAATGATCGATTTGCGTAGGTCATGAGAAGAACTGATGGGAATGATATCGTCAACATAAAGTAAGATGTAAGTCATGTCGGATCTACGCTGATAGATGAAGAGAGAGTGATATGAGGTATTGTGCTGAAATCCAATTGAGGAGACATAGTCAGCAAAAAGTTGGTACCAGACTCGAGGTACATGTTATCTTCAAATGAATTCTATTCACCCCATAAATTAAATGACAATTCATAATGCATTAACATAAAATTTACCGTTTCTTTTTGCTAGACCATTTTGTTGTAGTGTATGAAGCGCATAACATTCATGTATAATACCATATTCTTCATAATATACATCAAATTCAGTAGAAAAGTATTCAATGCCGTTGATTTTCTATTCCCGCTTAATAAATTTTAAACGCATTAAAAGCATCATATTTATGCTTGTAAAGATATAAATGTGTGAATCTAGCTGGCTTCGAAATGGTGACATGGAATTGTAGCTTTAGCAATATAAAATGCAAACAAAGAAATATTCTCAAAATTTGAAGTTCCATGAGATTTGAACTCATTAACACTTGAATGGGTTAACATCCTTTCAACCACTCGGCCAACTATTATTTGTTGAACATGACATTTTAAAAAACCACTATTCTTTCTTCTTCCTCAATGAAGGGTTGAAGTATTGTTTAAATGAGCCTTTATCAAACTTCAATAATAGGTGAAACTTTCCCAAGCAATGAGATTGTCTTCTCTGAAGTATAATCTCCATTTTTACATAAAAAAGGTGAGCAACATACTAAAAAGATTCTTATATATGGTAAAAATTTGCATTCTGGGGCACCAAAATACGAATACTTGAATAAAATAGCAAGCCTTCTTAAAATAAGGCTTTATTAATAAATAAAATACAGCTTTATAAAAATAATACAGCTTAAAGTCTGTCAAAAAATACAGGTAAAAACTAATTGACGTTGCATAAAAATATTACTTGTGTTAAAACTAACAATTTTTTATTCAGTTTTAGAAAACACCAACATGTTTTGAAGTTCATCAGGACGCTCAAAAAATTTAAATAAAAAAGTGTGAAATTTTGAAGCTTAAATGTGTATTAGTAGAAGAATATTTTTAAAAATCAATTGAGATTACATGTAAGAAGAAAGCAAGTTTCCAAACTTTCCAACACAATCAATAGTGTAAAAGAAAATATCATACCCATCGTGAACTGGAACCACTTATATGCATTTAGAACATCCCACACTTCACAGAATGATGACACTTTTAGCTTTGGAAGTGAATAGCATCATGTAACCTCTAGTGGATGCAAATGAAACATTGTTGTAATATGTAATATTTATATCAATCCTTAGGACATGTTGGGATATCCTAACACTAGCTATACAAAGTTAGATAGAAAATAAGTCTACTTGTTAAAACAAGACAAGAAATAAACATCGTGTATAAAGTGATAAAAAAAAAGTTTAACAAAGGCTCATTTAAACAACACTTCAACCCTTCATTGAGGAAGAAGAAAGAATAGTGGTTTTTTAAAATTTCATGTTCAACAAATAATAGTTGGCTGAGTGGTTGGAAGAATGTTAACACGCCTAAGTGTTTATGGGTTTGAATCTAATGGAATTTTAAATTTTGAGAATATTTCTTTATTTGCATTTTACATTGTTAAAGCTAAAATTTCATGTCACTATTTCGAAACCCATTCAGCTGGCCACGTCTAAAACTCAAAGAAAATCTTAGGCTATAAGGTTTTTCGTTTTAGAATCTATATTTGTTAAGAGGCGAAATTTTTTTTATTTTTAAAAAGGGGTAAATAAAAAATCGCTACTATTGCAAGGGGGTAAAGTGTATTTAACCCATAAAAATAATGAAATACCTATTTTTTTTCATGAGTTAACATGCCATTAAATTTACATGAATATGAACGCACAAGATCAAGCAAGTTGATATTTCTTTCTACACTATAAAAAAGTTTCTTAATCATTTTTTATTTAACACATATTTTATATTCTTTGACATGATTAACATCAGATGAAATTAAATCAGATTTAATTAATTTTTTCATAATGCTAATACTAATATGAGTTAATCTATTATACCTTAAAGAAGCAGAAATAAAAACTTTATTAATAATATTTTCAAGTTTAACTATTCCCTCAACGGAATCAATTTTTCCCACAAATACACCATTATGGGTCAAGATTAACTTGCTCGATTCATACATAGATTTAATGCTTGGTTTTTCTAAAAGATTCCCACTAACAAGGTTCCTATTCATGTAGGAAATATGATGTACATTGATAAGAGTAAATATATTTTCAGAAGTGAAGTTGAGTTTCACGGTTCCCATTCCAACACCCTCGAACATCCTTCATTTCTCATTTGAACACCTTGTCTTTTAATGACTTTAGAATAGGTTTTGAATGTCGTTTTATCATAGGAAACATGGACAGTAGCACAAGTATCCTACCACGATCCTTGTACCTTGTCTTTGATTGCCATGATTTTGCTCACATTAACAATTATGTTATTATTTGCTTGAAAAATATTTGCCTCGTTTTTGAACTTGTTGTGTTTGCAATCTCGAGCATAATGAATGTGTTTGTCACACACATAACAACCGCATTTGGAACACTTTGATCCGTCATAAATCTTGAACGTATTTTATTCCATCTTAGGTCTAAGATGATTCTTCTTATTTCTTTCCTTTTGCGCTTACCGCATTTGCCTTAAAATATCCATCAGCCTCAAATCTCTCTATCTTTTGATTCCTTCTTGATTTGAAGATGTTTCTGAATTCTCTCTAAAGAGAAGTCCTCGGAATTGTAAAATAACTTTTTCTTATAGCTTTTCAAGAAGATGACATTTTTGCAATAATTGTACAAACTTGAAAAACTTCAGGAATATCGATCTTCACAGTCTTCAGTTTATGCATGAAAATATATAACCTGTGCACTTATCCAAGAATGAGCTTTGAATCTGACATTTTAAAATCAGAATATTTAAAGTCAGAAACTTTTTAGTACCTTTCTCTTCAGCGTGAAGTTTGAATTCAAGTGCCTTCCAAATTTTTATTGTCAATTAGTTATCTGTTTAGAGATCATTGAAACTATCGGATAATGTGTTTTGAATGTGTCCACACTACGTTAAATCTTGAGTTCTTCGTTATCATCTTATTGAGATTCCGGAATCAGTGTCAAATCAAGATCCAAGACATATAAAATCTTCAAGGCAGTCATGAGGAAGATCATCAAGTCTTGCCAGCAAGTGAAGTTTGTTCTATTGAAACGATCCAATTTTACAAGGTCCTGATGTTTGAAACTGAAACCTCGGTAGTCATTCTTTGAGATACTATTAAAATGATAGATAAATACTATAAGTTAAATGAATCAAGAGTAAAATCGTGCATGTAATCACTTTCCTAACAATATTTTAAGCACTATGTATATGTCTTAGAGTTTGTACAAGACAAATGTAAACTTGAAAATAGAGAAGAGGATAGTATCAATGGTATTGTTTTATCTGAAATGTTTTATTTATAGGCTAAATGATGTTATTTCATAAGTTTACAACCCTGATGAAATACAACTTTTCAACAAATGTTGTTATACTTGACACAAAATGTTACAAAGTATTAGACTTTATTTAAAGTGCTCAAATGGCAACTAGAAACGGTCACTAGTGCCTCCATACTCAGATCCCGTAGCAAAGAGGGGGAGACAAATGACATAGTGAGATTTTTTTCTTTTTGGGTTGTTGATGAGTTAATAAAAAAAGATTAAAATGTGATAATTGAGTGATTGGGATGCAGGAATGCGGGTGGGTCCGCGAAAGAGTGGGAGCCTTAGAATGGTAAAGCAAATACCCGTTTTTCCCTTTTCCCTCCTAATTATAGACAAAATAACTTTTGTGTTCCCATTCCCAACAAGAAACTAATCACCATTCCTTTCTCTCTTGTTCCATCATCAATACGCATTTCAATCCTCCTGCGTTTTGGCTTCCAAGACCAACATGCACCACAACCATTCCCTCCCATGGTTGTCGATTTTTGCTTTCCTCTCCTCAACCACTACCACCCTCCTCCTTGTTCAATGCAAAACCTCTTCTCAAGATGGTTCTCTCTCTCTCACTTTTTTACTATCATTCTTATTATGCATATTATATATTCTAATAATATGAAAATCCATCAATACAGTTTCAGCCCTCAATGTTATGTACAAAAGCTTGAATTCTCCTTCCCAACTCAGTGGTTGGAAATCAACCGGTGGTGATCCTTGTGCTGAATCCTGGGAAGGAATCAAATGTTCTTCTTCTTCCGTCACAGAAATGTAATCATTAATCATCTATATATTCCTTCTTATATTCATCATTCATCATTCTTGTCTTATGCTGTGCAACAGAAATTTAGCTGATATGGATCTTAGTGGATCAATGGGCTACCAATTGGCAAACTTGAAATCAGTCACCTACTTGTAAATACAATCATCCTTAATTTCCTTTTTTATTTTTCATTTACATTCCCACAACATCACTTAAATGTCATGCATTCATTTTTCATAGTGCAGTGATTTGAGCAACAACAATTTCAACGGTGATATACCCTACCAACTCCCTCCAAATGCTCGTACCATGTAACTAACTAACTTACTTTTATGACAAACAACTTATGTAATTGCATTTTCATCTTCTCTTATCTCCTTATATATATGCAGAGATTTTTCTAACAATCAATTCACTGGAAGTATACCTTATTCCTTTTCTCAGATGAAGACTCTCGAATCTCTGTAACCAAACTTCTATTCTTTTTTTTTTCTTTCTTCATACTTTTCTCTTCTTTTTCTTCTTTTCACTTTTTTATCATTTTATGTTCGCAGAAATCTTGCACATAATAAGCTCAATAACCAGCTGGGAGATATGTTTGCAAGCCTCTCTAAACTCAAACAATTGTAAGTCTAACCATACTTTTCGCAACGCTGTATTGCTGTTTGATTTGAGTTAAGGGAGAAGCTATTATTAATAACATGGTTCTACCAATATATTGACCATTAATCTGAAATACAATATAGGGATGTATCATTCAATTCACTATCAGGAGACCTGCCTCAGAGTTTAAAATCAGCCAAAAGCCTAACGAAGATGTAAGAAATGAATCACCATTACTGTTAAAGGAACGCACACACCCAAGTTGACAACTTCTATTTCTTTTTGTACAGACATCTGCAAAACAATAAACTCACCGGTTCAATAAATGTCCTTGCCCGCCTTCCACTTGATGATGTGTAAGTTCATCCTAATACCTTCATATATTTAAATTTTCAATCTATTGAAGGAAAGATTCACAAACCTGAAATTATTATTTCTTATCCAAGTACTGTTTTGATTTTTAACAGGAATGTTGAGAACAACAAATTTACTGGTTGGGTTCCTGACTCGTTAAAGGATATAACTAGCTTGAGGTAAGTACTTTGTTACACTTCTTTATTGAAGGATGCCTGCTTGGGTTGTTTCTCTAATTTTATGTTTTTAATTACAAAGAACGGGAGGAAACTCTTGGTCAACTGGGTCAGCACCACCTCCTCCCCCCGGCACACCTCCTATCGAGCATGCCAAGAAAAAGGCTGGAAAATCTGTTGTAACTGGAGTCACTATAGCCGGCATAGCTGTTGCTGTGCTCATTGTAGTCATACTCATTGTTGCTCTTTCTAAAAGACGAAGATCATCTGTACCTTCTTCACATTTTATTGATGAAGATAGGCGTAGCCAGCACAGATCTTTTACACCCCTTGCGTCTCAGGAGTTGTCTAAAGATTTAGGTTCTGATGACAGCACAAAATACAATGGTGAGTTTTTTCATTCACAGGTTTCATAATTCTTTCTGTTTTATTCATGACTTCATGTGATGCATATTTTCCATGTGTTGAAGTTTTTCTATATGTATAACAAGGAATATGATCCTCCATAGAATTCTAAAATGATTGCCTCTGTATATTTTGGCACATTGTGATAATGGCCAATATGGAGTTGACATTATCATATAACTGATTTCAGAAGTTATATTGGTGACAGGATTTAAAGCAATGGATTCCACTGCAATCGACATAAAGGCATTACAAAAAAGTCCATCAAGTGGTGTTACATCAGCCTCTGATTGTGTGCAAACTTTTACTGACAATGAGTTTGCAAATCGTCTAAATTCTAAAAGAAGCGCATCAGTTCGATGTACTCCTTTTTCCCTGGGAGAGTTGCAAATTGGAACTGCTAATTTTGCTTCAGGACGACTTCTTGGTGAAGGAAACCTTGGACCTGTTTATCGTGCCAAATATGCCGATGGAAAGGTGCTTTCTGTTATATAAACTAGTCATGGATACACTACTGTTAGTTTATGCATGTGCATGACATATTCATAAGATTGGCTAAGCATCACCAATGAACAAAATGTGTTTCCAGTGAAAATGCAACTGCAAATTTGACACCCACGTTCATGTTCAGGTATTGGCTGTAAAAAAGATAAACCCTTCATTTTTTGATGGGGGGCGTCCTGAGGAATTCTCTCAGATTTTATCAAGCATCTCCAAACTTCGTCATCCAAATATTGCTGAGCTTGTTGGTTATTGTTCAGAACAGGAGCATATGTTAGTATATGATTATTTCAGAAATGGTTCTCTCCATGAGTTTTTACACTTATCAGATGACTTCAGCAAACCACTAACTTGGAACACCAGAATCAGAATTGCATTGGGAACTGCTCGGGCTGTTGAGTTAGTTTTCTACATCTCTTTTTATGACATTATGCATAACCTATTCCTGCATGTGAATATGCTCCTATTTGCTGAATAGATATGCATATAGAAAAATATTTATACCAATTCAAACACTCAACAGATTTTTGAATTTCTTAACCCATTCTCTCCCAAGTCGAGTTCAAAATTATTTGACGATGTTACACTCATTTCGATTTTGCATACATGTCTTTACTTTCAGGTACCTACATGAAAGCTGTTCTCCGCCTTTAGTTCACAAGAATATCAAATCTGCCAATATTTTGCTTGACACAGATTTGAATCCCCGTCTCTCAGACTATGGTTTGGCAACCTTCCACCAGGTTTTTCTTGTTTTTGTCTCCCAGACTATGGAATTCTGTCATGTTACTATAAATTGATGTGACTATAAGTATTTTGTGTAATCGTTCAATTCAATGTTTGCTAGTTTCCTTGTGGAAATAGTAATAGTAAGATTTGTATTGCTTCCACTCAGCGTACTAGCCAGAATCTCGGGGCAGGATATAATGCACCAGAATGCACAAAACCATCAGCCTATACCCTGAAGAGCGATGTATACAGTTTTGGCGTAGTGATGCTCGAGCTTTTGACAGGTCGAATGCCTCTAGACAGGTAAGTTGCTTTTCTTACTGTGTCACTCACTCCATGTTTGATGTTTGAGTTTAAGTATTGCTCCTTATCTATCTTTGTATCTTCAGTTCAAAGCCAAAAGGAGAGCAATGTCTGGTTCGTTGGGCTACCCCACAGCTTCATGACATACTTGCAGTGGAAAAAATGGTAGACCCTGCCTTGCGGGGACTTTACCCTCCTAAATCACTCTTTCGGTTTGCTGACATCATCGCCTTATGTGTTCAGGTGACTTACATTATAAATTCATTATATTTATTGATTAGGATAACTCCATTATTACTAACTGATATGCTTTTTTGTATTAGTCTGAACCTGAATTTCGGCCACCTGCGTCAGAGGTGGTTCAGGCATTGGTGCGATTAGTTCAACGTTCAAGTCTGAAAATGAGAGAAGATCTTGGTGTCTTTGGTCGGATAGATGATCCTGATGATTGAAAGGAAAATGAAAACATCTTTGCCAACTCCCATATTTGTCCATAGAATTTTCAGTTATTTTTCAACGTTTTTTATTTTACTCTTTCAAACTAGTTGTAGGTTTTACGAGAAAAATTTGTGCAAAATTATTAAGACTTGTTTTCAAGAGACAACTTTGGTTAGGAAGTACTGGACACCATAGAAAGGGGTCAATTTTATGTGCATTATTAGGTAAGATTTGAGAAATTGTAAGTTTTTAATTAGTAAATATTCGATATGCTTTTAGTTCTTTGTTATGTTATCAATTTACTTGTTGTCTAACAATTCTAACTGTAAATGAAGATCTAGTGCAGAGGATTTCCCTACACTTATAGGTCTACGAATGAGAGCACAAAATTCCCTTACATTCACCTTTATTAATATAAACCAACAAATACTTTAAAATAAATTTTCGATCTAATTAAGTGCCAAAGACTTCAATTTATTTTCAACCATCATCACTTATGTTTAAATTTACAAAGTATTTGTCATTTTATAAGATTTTAGAAATCTTTGGTTTCTTGTCAGGGTTGTTTTAATTTGACTTTGATTACCACCATAAGGATGGTTCCAGAATAATGATTAATACCTTAAGAAATCATGAATAATTCTTTCGGAATGATAGTAATCAGTTTCTATGTTTTGCATATGTTTTTACTAATACAAAAATAGAAAGAAATGAGGGATAAACAGAAACATTTGTGACACTGTTTGTTGAGAGGGCATAGGCATCTCAGAATGATTAAGGTTGTTTGCCTCAGGGATCCCAATATAGTTAGGGCACACGTCTTAAGTTTAAGGTTCACAATATGAGTTGGGGCAAATGCCGGAAGAGACGCGAGGTATCATAATTGAGAGCGGTTGAAGCTACGTAGACGGTTACATACTATGATTCTTTCAAGTGTGACATCCTTATATGGTATAGGATGCTCTAGGAGATCCACTAAGGTCATCTCATCAGGAGATAATAGAAGAGGAGCAGGTTACGACGAATCATGTTGTTGATGTGTTGCCTAGATGTCATTGTATCATAGAGAGGCAGACAAGTATTGACGAGGAAGTCTTTCTGGATGGCTCTGAGAAGAGGAACGTCGTAGATGTTATGATGACAGAAGCTTGAGAAGCACGGCAGAACAGGGGAGCACAAGACCGAGTTCGTTATATTCAGTAGATTATAATACTTGTACTAGGGATTTATTTTGGGATGTATTTTATTTATCAACTTAGTTATAACTTTTGAATTGAATTTTTGTACTCTTGATTTATAATTTTATATATGTCATTTTCTACATATCCTTTGTATTATCGAATTCATCATAGTATACTTTCTGACTGTTTCATATGCTTAAAAAACTTAGAATTTATTATCTGCACTAGATACTGAGATACATCTCCAAAAACTTTTTGATAAAAATACAAAGATACATCTCAAAACAATGTAACCTTAAACAAATAAAAGTGCGTCTGAAAATTAATCTCCAAAAACTAATGAACATTTTTAGAATTGTATAGGATGCTTTTTTTTACGTACATAGGGTGGATAATTACCTAATTGATATATATATAGTTGATTTCTTGTTTAGGTGTGGTCTTTTGTGGACCACCTATTATGGCAGCCCGTAATAGACATGACCTTGATTGTAAGAGATTATATCGACTAGATAATTTGCTCATGGCTTCTGATGGTGGCTTTCAGGCAATGGGAGGAGGTGGGGGGTAATTCGCTTTGAGTCGTAATGGTGTTTACCGTGTGTTAAAATAGAAGAATTTTTGTAAATATAGGACAACAGAACAGAAAGCACAAGATTATTTTGACATTTTTACAATTAAAGCTGAACAGAAAACAAAAAATATATATGAAAATGAATCAGACCCTAACAAGCCCAAAATTATTAAACAAAAATGTAAAAGGACGGGGAAGAAAACCTAACCTACTCAAATAAGTGAACGTGTAATGTAAGAGAGTTCAAAGTAAACAATAAGTCAACTCACTCAATAAAACTTAGTATCATATATGAAACCCATTCTTTTATGCAAAACCACCTCTTACGGGGTATCCCGGTGATTTCGATGGCATCAAAACACTGCCTTGTTGGAAAAGCTAACAAGATAAAGCAAGCATGTTCCCGACTTTCATGCCTGGTGTGATCAACGTTCTTGGGGCTACTGGTACGTCTTCCTAACTGGTTTGCATTGAAGAGGCATTCACTAAAATGCCTTCATCAGGTTTAAATACATTACCAGTGGGACCATCAGTGTTGGCAGCAATAACTTGGTTATTGTTGTCATCTAAGCGGACAACTAGAGCAAAGTTTTCTGACACCTGCTTGATGAAATCACCAGTACTGTCCGAAGAACTCCTATGCTCACTCCCCCCAACTAATCCAGTACTCATCACGCTGCTTTGCTGCCTTGCCTTCCGTTCTTGCATTGCCTTCTGCCGTTCTTCGTAGAAATTAAAATCATCAAGGATGGATGTATCAGTTTCATGGTTTTTGAAAATGATCAACATTTCAATCCCCTGTTGCAATTTCACCTGAAATGTTTCATATTCAGAAAAGAACAAATAATCAGCTGCATGTAATTGTTTTTACAGTGCATTTATAAGAGATATACAAGTGAAATAAAACAACAAAAACTAAACTTGGGAGATGACATAAAGGCCGGACAAGTGCAACACTATGCTACGTAGTCAATGATGGACAGAAGCCGGCACCATAGGGCAGTGGTATGGCTGCTACATTGAAGCTTAAGGAAATCATACAAGAAATATACAACGTAGTGCCATACACATAAAAGCTCAAAAATTGAAGAATACACAAAATTAAAGGCGGGTATAGCACCGGACCCTTAAAATATTATTGTGGCATATTGGATAGTGGGATGACCGCTATTGTGAAGACTTAATAAATAATGTACATAGTAAGTATAAATTCCAACAGCATATATAAATACTAAAAAATATAAATTCATGTAGTATTTGTTTAATATCAGCTGGTATTTTCCTGCAAGATTTTACTTCTCCCCTAATCCTCAACAGATGCTTCTTAGCTCGTGTTATTCCTCCCGTTAAAGGGTGCTCTCTAAAATCACTAACATTGTTTTCTTTATTTGATCTTTATAAGAGTTCCACTGCCAACCAATATCAAGGTAGTCACTGATAGGTTTAAAATAACTTTGTTGCTGGAAGTTAGTGTTACACATGCAGAGGATGATGCAGCCATGGTTGTTATTAAAATAGAAATGGAGCAACACAGACAGAACAGAGAGGAGAACAATGGAAAACAGGAAGGCAGGGGAGAAGGAAGGGGAGATGGGTTGCAAACAGCTGCGAACAGATGAAAGGGTCTGCGAACGGCGAAGAAAAGTGGAAATTGGCAAAGAATAGTAGAAACAGGAACACAGGGGAAATTGGCAAAATACGATGTTACTGAAGAAATGAACACTTGGATTAAATATTAGGTCAAAAAAAGACCAATATACCTTTAAAAATATTTGGGTTTACAAATTTGCCATCAAAGTTGAAAATAGCAGCCAGGTAGCCGCTATGGCACTACTATTGTGCCTCTACAACACTGCTATTCGCAGCCGGCATGACTGCTACCGTCGATAGAGCTTCGCATGCCAATAGCATCGCAGTGAAGGAGCACGCCGCCCCACTACACCGCTATAGCGACGCAATGGCGCACTGGAGTTACGCGGTTCACTACAGCTGCTACTCAAACAAAATGCAACCAAGTTTCGAGATCTAATTTCTAACAGGAATGTCAACATACTTTAAATCTGGAAATAAATACATATTAGATATGGGTTGTTATTATAAGTTTAACAAAGCTTCTGAAGACTGTGCAGTAAACTTCAAAGGCAAAATTTATAGTCACAATGAAGGATCCACAGATTCCTACCTCCTGAGTATCTCGACTGTTGGTAACAGGCTTGTTATCATTATTTTCAAGAACAATGTGACGAAACTGACTGTTCGGAACATCTTTTATTATGTGCCACTTAACAGGAAACTGCCCACTCCACTTATCTTGCTGCCAGAAGTCCACGTTCTTGTCAAAATTGACAGGTCCAACCATTTCAGCTACTCCACAGAACTGAGCACTAGCATTTACCTGGAAATAGTTGTAACATTTTTTATGGCAGTCATATGAGAAAGAAACAGTAGCAATGCAAATAAAGTGAAAACTATATAAACTTAGGATCAACATCAAGGAACATCATATGGTCTACCCGATGAAATTATTGCTAATGCAATATAATATGATAAATATAGGTCAATTATTATTTGACAACATTTTTCCTCATCAACACATTTAACCTTTGTTTGGAAATGATTTTTCTATGGGAAACAATCCTTTTTCCTTCGCATCAAAAGCGCTCACAAAGCTGAAAAAAAGCATCTGTCTCCAAGAAGCTCTCTCAAAGCCCTGTTAAGTTAACAACAATAAACAACCAAGCTTTTTTGCACTAGGGGAGATTGACTACATGAATCTATTGATGCCATAAAGCCCTGTCATGTATTTGGTCCAAAAATACACCATTTACTTCAAGGTTTTTCTCAATGATTTGACTAATAGCTTTCCTTGGTCTCCCTTGACCTCTAACTATTGGACTCATCTATTTGATCAACACTTCTAACAAGTTCTTCGACAAGTCTTTTTCATACTCGATAATCTGCCTAAGATGATACTCCGATACATTTTCTACAATGAGGGCTTACCTAAATTTTCTCTCCAATGATGGTATTTCTAATTCTATCTTGTCTTGTGTACTGTGACCACTGATCAAGCATAACATTGTCATCTCTATGATACTAGGTTTATTTTCATTGTCTTCTCACCACCCAAAATTCAATTTTATACAACATTGTAAAATTAACAAAATATTCTGAACCAAGATTTGTTACAGGTAATAGATACTTATTTACAGCTACTATAGGACGAATATGGTAGTGCAACATTAGTGCTAACACAGAGATACAGATATTAGATGATTACCGAGAAAAAGAGAAAAACCGGACAGGCATCTTGTTTCTCCTTTGCTTGGCAATATGCAGCATCTAACTTTCTGTTTCCATTTGGTGTACTTGCCCAGACACCATATTTGATGCTTTTATGAACGTTATCTTCGCTATAAGATTTGATGACAAAAAATTTGGCATCCCTGTAGTCAGTGGCAAAGTCTGGCCGATTGAGTGATTCATCTTGGAACTTGGCAGCAGATGCATTATTTTTACTACCATCAATAGAATTATTTTCAGATGATATATAATTTTTCAGCTTTGAGGCTCTTGGTCCTCGGTTTTGCTCACTAAGGATATCAAGAGTACCATTACATCTGCAGAGAGAAGCATTTTCCCTGCCGTGCCGTCGGCTATTTTCAAGAGAAAGGAAGCTCCTATCATTAGAACTAAGGCTGGAAATGCCTGATCCTCCAAAGCTAGAACCGGAGTTAGAGAGATATCCTCTACCATAGGGGTTTGAACTGGATCCAAACCCATACAATGATCGCTGTTGATGAGAAGCCTGCAAAGAAGAGGATAGTCGATTCTGTTAACCCAAAATTTTGTTTTGACTAATTCTACATTTTCACACTTGCATGGTTAGTATTACACTATGTAAAAACATGGTTATAAACAATGGCTTCAAGTAAAACCACAATTTATAAATTTCTTCTGGAAAAAGGTAATATAACTTTTTTGGGACTTTGGACACAAGATGCATAACAAAAAAATAGATAAGAGACACTTTTACCAATTAAATGATTAAAATATTACTGAAAATTTCTCTGCAATGCCAGTCAAACGACTTTCCAAAAGATAAAAAAAGGAAAACCTATTGCTGTAAAACTCTTGCCAAGGCAGGGGGGGCAGGTAAGTTTAAGATGAACTTTAAGCCATCCTTTGCGCCAAGGCTTCCTCCATCGGTAATCTGCTTCCGGCAGATAAAATCTAATTTCTGATAAATGTCATCAATGGAGCCCAAGGTGAAGTGTAAATGGCAGACACATTGCTAAAGTCACTGTGTATTTGAGTTTGGTACATAATATGGATGTTTCTATTAACTTTTTTTATTCTGTTATTGTATAATTTTATGTGGGTTTATTTTATATAACTTTGAGCAGCTGTACAAGCTTGAAAAACAATCTCTATAAAAAGAACAAATTAAAATTATTTATCTTTTGAAGGATCTCTTTTTGTCAATAAAGTATCCAGAGCTTTGGGGGATAATATGAGAAATATTCTGATGTAAAATGGTACCAGAGCTCTAGGGTAAGATCCCTTTTTCAGTTCAGTTTGAAGGGTTTCAGCATCCACCAGAGTTTACCAAGTATATTATCCTTCATGACCAAAACTCCATACAAGTCTCTACTTGTCTAGTCTCTAAAACCTCTTCACGACATTTCTGATTTGCATGAGAGCCACGTGTCACCAGTCACAACACAACACATTTCTGATTTGCGTGAGACACGCATCGTTGTCACGGTCTTATTTTACAACACAACTTGTTCTAGTTTGTTCATCGGCTGGTACGATCTCTTATTCATTTCTTTTTGTAGGATTTTACACACCATGAGCACTGACCCAGTATATTGTTGTTCGTAACCAAACCTCTGTCTGAGTTTCTACCATTTTAGTCTCTGGAGCCTCCTCCTGAGATATGAGTGTCACTGTCGATCTCTAATAGCTTGATATGCAAGTGGCTGAAGTCTCATAACAATATCTCCAACCACATGCCACCACAAATGCGGCACTTTCCCTGCATATGACAGCCACGCACAGCCACCACGATTTTCATTTTCATCACAACTTGATCTAGTGTGTTCACTGATCTATCGTCTTTCTGTTTTGGCCCTTTCAATGTTTCGGTTTAAGTTTCTAGTGATTTTTTTCGCCTTTTCGGATCTCCTACCATCAAGTCAAAGAAGTTGAATGGTAAAAAATGATCTATGACCGGCGTAATGCAGTGGAAATATAGTTTCTAGACGAAGGATTTTTCAACCATCTTGAGAAGACGGAGGACAACATCACAGAATTTGAAAAACAGAAAAGGGCTCTGAAGACAGAAGAAAGCTGTTTCAGATCTTACCAAAGGCTGTTTGAAACAGACTTGAAACTCCTGAGATAGAAAAGGTAGATGGCACTCCTAAAACAGAGAATTTCAAAACTTATCCTTCGAGCTTCAGGAATTATATCACTTAAGCAATCTCAACATAAACTACAAGGTGAAAGAACACATTGGGGGAAGTAAGACAATAGAAGACTGAATGATCAGCTATTCTGTTTCAATCCTAAGTCTTTAACACCAGAACTGAAACACCCAAACAAAGCTCGTGGGAAATATTTAAACCCATACAGATAACATAGCAAGAGGAACAAAAGTAGGTGGTTGCATTTCAAATATCCAATTAATGTAATGAATGACTAATGATGGATGACAAACATGACAAGAAAAGGGCGTACTGAAATAATTATTGCCCTTCGAGAAATATTTAAGTATCTTCAAGACTAGAGATTTGTAAACTGGGCCATGAGCCAAGTGCTACAACAAAATATTAAACTATGTACTAGACACTTTTGGTCGCTCAGATTTGGTAAGGTTACACAAAAGACTCGCCAATAGTAATCAAGTTTCCTTACACGTTGCTTTGAATGAAGAAACCGAACATATTCAGATGAATTCTAGACATTTGTGGTCGCTCAGATTTGGTAAAGTTACAGAAAAGACTGACCAATGGTAATCAAGTCTCCTTACACATTGCTTTGAACTTAATGTTTCATGAAGAAACCGAGCATATACCAATGAATTCTCATTTCAGTAAAAAAATATATTTACAGACACTACTACTGACTATGCCAACCCAAATGACCAAATTAGCACATGTTTTCATTTAGTACTTAAGCCGTCCTTGGATATTACACATGTAATTTGTTTGTTGCATGTGCTCTGAATGCTCCAGCTTGATAGGAAGCACCGGAAAGATTGTAGATAGGGTCATCACGGTTGCACAATATCATATCATGTATCTATTTGATTGTTTATATTGATGACCTTGTTTCATAGGTGATGATCATCATGCTACTCACCATGGAAGTCAAAAGCTAAAAATGGGGTCCTAATAGATATATGGGGAAGTTTCCGTTAATCATATTGTTTTAGTTTGATATCCTTATCTTTATGTGTAAATATTTTTCACTATTATAGTCAAAAAAGCTTGTATAACAAGCTCTCTTTTGATAAAGAAATTCACCAGTGTCAGAACAAGACATAAACTGCTGTTCAGTTTTGAGTTTATATCTTGTCTTAAAAGTGTTCAAAACGGTGTTTCCTTTAGTCACATTGTTTTAGTTTGATATCCTTATCTATATGTTATCACTATTTTGTATTTACGAAAAGGCTTGTATAACAAGCTCTCTAGAGTGTAGAGAGTGAAATTCAGCAGTGTTGGAACAAGACATAAACTTTGTAGTTCGCTTTTGGGTTTACCTCTTGTATTAATAGAGCTGAAAACTAATAATTAGAAAATTATAACATATTGCATGATATGCACAAGTAATAGAACAAACCATTCCAGCGGTGGGCCCAAATGACCTGACGGAGCCAATTGGCTGTTGAGAAACAGAGGTGGATAGAGGCATCAAAGACCTCTGCCTTTCTGAAGGTTTGGAGGAATCGGACCAGAGTCCAGCAGATCTTGGTCCATCAAAGCCTTGGTGAGATTCATGAAAGGCGAAAGAACCAGGGGCTACAGGAAAGCTTCCTCTAGCAAAAGATCCCATGGAAGGATAGGCTGGTCTGTGTCCAAAATAATTGGTTTCAAGTTGTTGGTCAATACCTAAGAGGTTGGTTAGCTCTGGCTGAGAAACTGGAGACGGTGAATTGAGATATGGTAAGGTAGGAGGAAGCAGGTGGTTGTAATAAGGTGGAGTGTATGGAAATTGGTGAGAAGAGTATAACTGTGCATCTCCACCTACAGAAGGCAAAGGTGAGGTAACTGGGGAATATGGTCCATATGGCATTTGTGGGTTGAAGCCATATCCAGAATGGAAAACAACGGATTGATTTTCATTGTAGACACCCTGGGAAAAAAAATAAGTCAGCCTTACAAACATGAACTATACATAAAAAATAAAATAAAAAAAGATATAAGATTCTCACAGGAGATGGAATTTCTATTCCGGCAGGATAGTCATCCCATTGGCGGTTGGTATTGTCAAAACCTGTAATTGAGAAAGTTAGCAATGGCGACAGGAGAAAAGCATTGGAAAAAAGAAAGAAAAAAAAGAGTAACCTCTATAGTAGAAAGGTTGGGGCTGGGGTTGGGGCGCATAAAGAGGTTGATCTCCGCCTGAAGCAAAAGATCCAGAGTGATTAGTGATATCCCTTGAATGACCTATAGTTGTTGTACCCTGACAAGAGTTAGAAGATATTGAAATCTCATTCATGTGTTTGTTTCATCATCAACATAAAAGGGAAAAACAATAATTAAAAAATAAAAAGTTAGGGATTTATTACCACTATGTTAATGTGATCCGATTGAGTTGGTATCTCTTCTGCATCCATGATGAGAATAGTTTTAAAAAACAGAATTGTATACCTTACTCAGATCCAGAATTGAAAAGTTTGAGGAGGATCGGATCGGATCACGTACCGGTGGGACGATCCGTAGTCTGCCCTTGTTGGGTTGCCGCCATCAATCTATCTGACTGAATAAATAGGAAAAGAAAAGATGTTGCTCTCAAACACTCTATTTCAAAGATCTTGCTTCCAAACACTCACTCGCACAACAATTTCAAACATCTTCTTTCTTCATCTCGCATCCCATCGTTTACATTACAATTTCCAAACCAAATGCTTTTTTTTATTTTATATTAAATCCAATAACAAACACTATTTTATTTCATCATCACTAAACGGATTCTATATTATAACTAACACAACACTTTTTTCTTGTTACATCCATTTTATTTCATTTTGCTTTTTTTTTTTTTCTTCTCAAAATACATTTTTTTAATGCAAACTGCATTATATATATATATATATTTTTTCTCTCATTTTTTTCTATAAACAATAACTAATTGAAATTGTTTTTATTCATTTACATTAAATATATTTAAAAAAAACATGAATATTTAAATTTTCTTAATAAATGTGAAAATTTGACTTTTATTTATAAATCGTTACGAATGAAGTATATAACAATATGTTAAAGTAATTTCAAATTGAAAAAAAATCATAGTTAATTGTGACAAATTACACTTAGCATAATTAATGTATATGATATATTTTTTAAATCGTTTTAACTATTGTTTTTTTATCAATTTCATTATTGAAAATACACGTTCCAATGTTGCATGTATACTCAATATTTAAATTCTGATCAAATGCACTCTCTAAAAACAATTCAAAAGTCACTTTGATAAATGTGAAGTCATTTAAAACCATTAGAAAAGCAAACTTAGTTGTCGTGCTTAAACTCCCATTGTTGTTTTCCTCATTCTATGAATTTGAAAAAGCATTATATTTTGGTCGATGATGAATGGAAAGAAGATATGCTGCTAGAAATTTTGGATGGTCATAATGTGTATGATTTTATTCAACAAGGCTCATGCGAGGAAGGCGACAAAAGAGAACTGTATCGGGAAGAAGATAACATAAGTGCATCGTCGTCGATGATTCAAAAGTCGTCGACGATGTTTCTAACTCCAAATCTGAAGCTTTTATCATCGACAAAACCATTGTAGTATCTCGCCAGAAGGGCAAAACATATGGCTTCAGCTCGATTCTCCACCTTTTCCTTCCAATTCGGTACTCTCTGTCTCTTCCTTTTACCTTTTAGAACCCTAACTTCTTCCTTTCCTCTCTCTAATTTGTGAGTTTCTTTTTATAATTATGTGTTACGTATGGTTGGTGCAATATACATCAAGGGAGTTGTAATGACAAAGTACAAAAGGTGAGGCCTCTGGAGTATCTCTAAAATAATCCATATTTCACACATTATGTTATGTTTTTAATTTTTTATTACAAAGACTCTGATTATAATGTATTTTCAGTTTTATGATATAATGTTGATTTCTGTTGTTGAATCCTTTTAATTGGTTTCATGACCATCGTATGTATGTTGGTATTTTGTGTGGTTCATTAAGCACTAAGAAAATGTAAATTTCAATATGTAAAGTTTGTTATGTGTTAGAAGCTTACAAGTGAAACAAAAATGTGTTTTCAATGGTTTAATTTATTATTTTACCCTTATGACCAGTAGAGTTTTAACTTGATATTGATCTAAGTTTACATGTCTTAATGTGTAGAACCTCCTGAGCTTTGTGTGTTATTTTTTTACAATGATTTGGCACCTATAAGCTCCTCAATATTTAACGTAATGGTACAAACTTTCATGCAGGTCTGCTTAAACGATGAGGATGGATGGTGTTTACCGTTGTTTTTGGTAAACAACCGCTAATCTCCAAAAAGGTAAGTTTTTGGTTTACTTACGGGATCGATCAAACTAATCCCAGGATATATGCTAATTTTTATGTAAAATGAGTAAGAAGGAAGAACGCACGTTCGACCCAGAGAAAGGATGTTTGAGATTGTTGAAAGGTAATCAAAAATATAAAAAATGCAAGTAAAAGAAGTAAAAAGATAACTTTGCAGGATAATGGTAAAGTAATGTAAAAAGACTTTTGTTAAGTAAAAAAGGTGTTTCCAACGTACATTGCTCAGCTTTATCCTTTCTCACGCAGTAGTTACTTGGATAATATTTGAGAGATTTAGTACAATAGGTTGAACACCCTTGAAATTTACACAAGTTTCTTAATTTATACTAAAAGTAGGTAACCGTCGAGGGGACATTCTGCGCTAGGATGAAGACAAGTGTCCTCTGCATGCCTCTCGATCCATAGCTTTTGGCTACGTTGCCTCTTCTCAGACGCTGATGAAAACTGCCTTTCCCTCCAATAATTCAAAATTCAAATAGTCCTCGTTCCATGCGCCAAAGCGTGAACACTTTCTTTTAGTCGAGCAACATAAGTCTGCTTCAGTCGAATGAGCCCTTGGTCGAAGATTCCTATCATAACTTAGGTCTTTTTCTTAAGTTATCTCATGTGTCGAATCATACCTCCTGCTTTGGTTCATTCCAGTTGTTTGGTCCAAAAGACCAAATACAGTAAGTGTTGAATTTGGGAGCCAACAAATTGCCCCCCAAGAATGTCTATTTCGACGCTCAAAGAAATAGCCATTCTTTGAACTTCCGATTCGACACCTGTCTTCCCAATTGTCCACCAAATCTTAATGTGTGCTTTTCGCCTTCCAACAGCTGCTATACTTGAGAAAACCATCATTACTTTTTCTCCAAGATGTCTCTTCAAACTGCCGTTACCATGCTTGCCATGATGACCATATTCCTATAACCTAGGCAAGCATGTCCCAATGTTTCCCAATGCCTGCACGGTAACCGTTTCACGTTTCTCCATGTGTCCCACTACCTGCGAAACATTAAATGGTCTTGACGAGACATCTCCTTCTTCTGAAGGCTATAAATACTTCCAAGCCTTTCTATTGGGAACTTTTACCATTTCCAGCTTTTCCAAATCCCTTGCATTCTCACAACATTGTACTGTCAACTTCGCTCTTTCTCTCAAATCCTTAACAATGGCTTTTCTCTCTAATGCTCCAAACAACCCTCAACCCAAAAATGCCGATGATGTCCAGAAACCACCGGAGGTCTTTTCTACCAATCCTCCTTCTTCCTCGATTAATAGGTATGTTGCTGAACCTATGACGAAAGAATGGCGAGAAGAATATGATTCTCAACTCCTCATTCCCATCAGATACGGCGGAAACATGTATGCTATGTCCGGTCCATTATCTTCATGCGTCGAAAATCCCTTAAAAAATCGCGCCTTTTTTCCTACACACCCAAGGCTTAGACCCATAGGTTGCGCCAAAAAACCTAGGGAGGACCCCGAAGACGCCACCCTGGCGAACCAGCAGCATCCTCAGACTACAGAGGATATCAACCTCCAGTTCATGAACAAAGGGAATCGAATCTTTCGCTCAAGCCCTAATCTTTCTTCTGAATATTCAGACTGGCTGAGTAAGATGGAGAGGGTGCAAGCTTCTGTTTGGAAGGAGATGAGCATTTATGACCTGATGATGTTGTCGAAGACAGGATTGCCTTACTGCCCCCTTATGCTGGTATCTTCTTTGTACTTTTGGGATAGTGCACATTTCACTTTCCATCTTCCTTGTGGGATGATAACCCCCACTTTATTCGGCATAGCTGCCATCACTGGGCTTCGACCAACCGGTGACTATTTCGACCCTGAAGACTTGTCTGAAGACGCTATTGGGTTCGCTGCTACAAAACCCACTTATACCACTTTCATAAACCACTTCCACGACAAAGCTTCTAGCACTGTGTCGGAGGTGGAGCATATAGCCTTCTTGGCTATGTGGTTATCTCGATTTGTTTTTTGTACTAAGTCACTGCAGGTGACGAAAAAGATGCTGACGCTCGCAATGCAGCTGCACCACAATACTCCCTTTGTCTGGCTGAATTGATTATGGCCAACTTATATGAGTCCATCAGTAATGGTGTGACTCAACTTAAGGTTATAGGGGACAGGGGGAGCTTGCTGCTAGCTGGTCCCTTTTAGATTCTCCAGTTGTGGCTCAATGCCACCTTTGAATCTTTCCTTCCCCAGAAGAACAAGATCAACGAAGAGGCTCCTGAAATTCTGAACAAGAGAGTCGAGGGCACCAGGCTTGCATTACTAACTCCCATTGATGAAGACCAACAGTTTCAAAAGGCTTTCACAAGCTTTGTAATGATGTTCGCAGAGCGAAAGCGCTTTGTTTCGACTATGGCTCCTTTCGCCAGTCGAAAAGTTGGTCCGGAGTGGTTCACCAGACCATATCCCTCGAATGAGGAGGATGACGTGACCGATGAGTTCGTGAGCATGTGGGAATCGTTTCTCTGCCCTAGGATCATGCCTTTAAGATTTAAGAGCTCGAAGAATCAATTGAGCTTGATTGCTTATCAACCAAATCTTGTCTCTCGACAATTTGGTATTGCTCAATCGCTTCTTTCGCCTATTTACCCTCGAGAGAAGCTACTACTTTTTTACTATGTAGACTACTCAGAGGATGCCGCTACCAAGCATATTGGTAGGTATTTTTGTCGAACTATATTGACCTTATTCGATTTTAACCTTAATTTTCTGAGTTCGGTTCCCTTTGAGGAGTGGTGGAAACAATATTATCATGAAGAGTTCTTCGATGAGAAGGACTTCGCCCACCACCTACGTGAGGCGTTCAAGCTTGTTCTCGACAGGGTTAAGAAAGGTACTACTCTTTTCCATCTCTTTGCCTCAAATTTGTCTACCAACACTCAATTAACGATAGCTGTTTTATCTTTTGTTTAGCTGTCAAGAGAGCCAGCTCGAAGAAGACTGCTGAGGGTACTAAAGGGGGAGATTCCGCTGTCAACCCCTCTCCTAAGGTATTCACTTTCTTTCATATCCTTATCTATTTTTTATCTGACACAGGTACTAATCCCTTCGACTTGGTTTTTTGTATGCTCAGAAACCAACCCCCAAAAAACGGAAGGTTCAGGAGATCCAAATCTCTAGCGATGAAGAAGATGAGTCTCCTCTTGTTCCTTTGCAGAGACGAAGATTGAAAAATCCAGCTC